CTCCAGCTGCTGTGAGCCTTGAGTTTCTCTCCTTCATGTATGTATGTTGTCTTGGGCAAATGCCCAACTTGACCTTCATCTAAGGTCAGCCTTTGGGACCTCTGACCACTTGTTGCCCAGCTGAGATGGTTCACAACAGCTGATTTTTTGGAGAAGTGCTGCTTCTGTTAATCACATCCTGCCTAAGCACTGATGTTGGGAACCTAAAAAACAGAAGGGCCCACCTTCACCTTTTAGATAAGATATTTCTCCATCAGGTTTGCCAGCAGGGATAAAGAAGCCAGCAACGGTGGAAACCAAGCCAGCAGGTTTCACGGCCCACACTGACAGCAGTGCCATAATAAGCTGATACTAACAAGGACCAGTAACCTGCTTCTATACAAATGCACACCAGTTTCCATTTCAGTCCTTAAAGGTGAGCTCTGTGTGAGTAAGGATTTTCACTTTGTCATTACTGCACATCATTCATGTTTGTATTGAAGATCTGCACTTCTTCCGTGTTGCTTTTTTTGTAGTTACAAAGTGTCAGAGGTTACTGTGCCCAAGTGGAGATGCTCTTCCAAGTTGGAAACTAGGAAAACTAGGACAATGACCCTCTGGCATGCTGCTAGTGGTGAACTGCATTTGAAAAACATAATGTTTTTTCTAAGGGACTGCACATAATAGCAGCCTTTTCATTCTGGCATTTATTAACCTCCTCTGAAAGTGCCTGGGGCTGATGAAGCACAGAGAGCATAGTCCATGTGTTCAAGATGAGGTTGGTGCTGGAAGGACATCACAGGTGATGCTCAGCACTGTGCTCCCTTGCTGTAGAACACCAAAAAAGAGGTGCCTCTAATCATCAGAAATGGGAAATGGCTGAAGATTGTCAGAGCAGGTGCAAGCTACATAAATAGATCAGGAAAATATTGGAGGCTGAGGGAAGGCTGAAAACAGAGCCCTTTCTGGTAGCTTTAGATTGAAATCTTTCACCTGCAAGATTTCTGGAATTTAACATTGTTCCATGGAGTAAGGCAAAACTAATTCCCAGAAACAGCATGCAACTGACACCAAACTTCTGGCGTTTGCTTTCCTAGGTAAGAATAATAATTATTGTATCTTCCTAGCTACATCAATCAGTAGTTAGATTTTTTGATTTTTTTTTTTTAATTTCAGAAACAGTGTTACTACTCTGCATATTCCAGAAATTTGAATAAAAACCTTAAGGATAAAGAAATGGAAAATACTATGTGCTATCCACTTGGCTTCAGCAGGTACAGTATCTGCTTTAATTAATAATAATGTATCTCTGCAGATCAAGAATAAAACTGCAGTCTACACTATCAACCCTTACATTAATTTTTCAAGTCATCCATTGAATATTAACTAAATATAGTTACAGTCAAGAAGAAGCATTTGTTTATTTGCTTACATTCTCTCAGCTATGCAGGACATTATTCTGTGTGTGACATCAAAGATTTACTTTCAAACTCACCTGATTTGAAAGGCAGAGTTTCTTCTGACGATGCAAGTCAGCAGAGAAAGTGACTGTATTTTATCAAATTCAGCTGCACTTTTCTTGCTGAAGCATGTTCAAAAGCCAACAGATCTATTTTTGTGATTCATTGCAGTCCATTCTGCTGCTGTTCAGTTGAAGGGAGCTATTTTTGTAATTATTCAGTAGCAAATTTATCAATTTAGTTTGTAGTGAAAAAGTTCCAGATATCTCTCTGATGAAGGTTGATAAATGGGTCCAGAAGAAAACTGTTCCTCTACAAAAGGGAGCGAGCTGGTCTGGGAGAGGCTTGCTCGTAGCTCACAAAAAGCATCACAAAAAGAAAAGCTCTGCTTTGAAGTAAGAGAAGGACAAAGACTGTCCTTCAACAAAGCATATGTTGAGGCTTTTGCATGTAAGTTATTAATCAACCTATTGTATTTATTATGACAGAGGTCTTGAAAAGGCTCTCAAAGTATTAGTCTGATGGTTTTAGCCAGTTCAAAGAAAAAAAATGGGGCAAGGCTGAATAATGTCTAAGAATATCCTTCTGGCTGCTTGAGGGAGATGAAGCATTTAATTTTTTTTAAAACACAGGAGATTTGCCTCTCACCAAATTTAACTATGGTGACCATTAGAGCAAAACCTAACCAGCATCCTCATCACTGGTCTGGGACTCCTGTCTCTCTTGTGGGCTGAATGACAGTGTCCCCCTTCCAGGACGGAGGATACCAGTTACCACACCAGTTCTCAAGCCCAAGAGCAGGCAACTAATTGTCATTGCATTGAGCATATAAGAAACCTTCCTTCTAGAGCTGTTAAAAAACTGGAGAACAGGAGAGGAAATATGTGGATGGGTTCACCTTATGAGATGATGTGGTTTACGTTGCTCCAGGCATCCTAGTGACTGAGGACAGCTCTGCCCTCCAGTCCTCTCCACACCCCTTAGACTAGAGCCCTGCCAGGATTTCCAGGGGCAAGGGAATACAGCTGGGGAGACTGCCCTAAAGAGGGTGATAACCAGGCCCTGCTAGAAAGGTGGCCTTGCTTTGGGGTGGGATAGGTCAGGGCGCAGAGGGGGGGCTGCAGCCTGGGGCACGCTGGCAGCACTGGATGGCAGTGTTACACAAGTTCAACCAGGTTTTCTTTCTTCTAGGTTTGGGAATAAAGACAAAGCATGCCAAGCCTGTGACTGGAAATGTGTGTTTTTAAGAAGGAGCATCTGTAAGTCATGTTGTGATGTATCTGTTGCTCTTCTGACCAGATTCCTTTCATTTCCTTTTTCCATCCTAGCTCTTTTCTTTGAGGGCTACTTTCCCATGCTTGCTTTCCTCCCAGCTTTCTCTCTCTTTCTCAGTGTGTGCTAGAGTGTTTCCCATGCCTCTTCTGAGCTGACTGGGCACTGGAAAGGTCACAGAGCTAATCAGCAAGCTTTGCCACTGCAAAAGCAGTATACAAAAACCCAACAAAAACATCCTCGCCTCCTTCCAGTTCTTTAGCTTTCGGCAGAAAGGACCAGAAGGAGGAGAATGCATTGGCACCGGCCCAGTATATGTGTGTTTAACATGAAGCCTGCTAGAACTAAATATACTGCAGGGACAATACAGAATTTGTGCAGCCAACAGTTTGCTCCTGCTATGGAGTTGGCCTGTCACTGGTAATGGCACAGAGTAGCGATTCCAGGGATGATACTAAGCCAGAGCAGTGTGCGTGTAATCCCAGTGCCAATATACACACCAGCACTGGCACTCCAGAGACGTGTGGAACATACCTTTGGCAGGGAGATGGTGAGACAGTGAAAGCAGCTGAATAGGTATCATTGTGGGTTTGTTCCACCTGCTTGGATCCCGAGCTGGGATTTTTCTTCTTCTTTTCATCTCATTTCTCATTGTAATACCAGGGTCACGCTTTAATACAGCAAGTATAATTACAGAGCAGTTACACTGTGTGAGTCTGTTTCATGATACCTATAATTACCATTCATTCACTAGGAGCTAGGAGGTTAGTTAATTCAGTGAACGCATTACGTATCAGTCTGCTTTCTGAGTTACTATCTCACATTTTAATTGCAATGGTACCTTTTGCACATATATCTGAAAGTTCACTGTATGACAGTCATTTCTATTTTGTTAAGTTTATGATTCAGTTCAGCCTGTTTACAAGTGTATTTGTGTGGCAGTAGTATCTCAGGTCAATGAAAAAAGTTAAATCAATATCCAGACTGGTAATCAGTCCTACCTGAAATCCCCACCCTACTGAAACATGTGTGTACCCCATAGAGTTTAAGAAGTGTAGTGAGGTTGACTTTTGGTTTTAGAGATGACCCAGAGCTGACTACGTTTCAAATGATTGGCAAGGCTCATGACACACTGGAAATCCTTGGGATCAGGAGAAAAGTCATTAAAGGGCACCACAGTCCTCCTTGCCACCCCCTCCACAGAGCTGTGCTTATCCTTCTGCTGGATTCAGCAGGGCTTGGCTTCAGCAGAGATTATGGCTTTGCATTAGGTGACATTAGTTTGATGTAACTTTTTTTGTTTTAAATAGAAAGGTTTTGCCCACTTTAGTAGCTTATGAGGATCAATCACACTTCAAAGGGTTCCCAGGCTGAAGTCCTGTGGCCATTTGATGTTAGAAGGTGGCAGGAGGCAGCTCCCTGCTTCCTTCCTTCCTCTCCTCTCCTGCCTTTGTTCTTTATCCCCAGATAAAGTTGGAACCAGCAACAGCAGCTTGGCCAGCAGCGAACCTCTGTCATACATTGCTGAAGAGCTTCCTCAGCCAGCCTGGAGCCACTGCAGCATGGCCAGGCCAACAAGCCTCTTCCTCTATGCTTTTCATCTTCTTGACTACATTCCCCCGTGCCAGCACCTCCTTCCAAAGCCCTGTGCACCTCTCTATCCCCTTCCTCTGCTACTCCTCCTTCTCTCCCCTTACCCTCAGCCCAGCTTTTGCTCCCCCCAGCATCCTGAGCTGGGTGTCCAGCACAGATCAGGAGGAGGGGTGACTGTGCACAGCTCCTGCACAGCCAGCACAGATCCTCAGAGCTGGCACTAGTTGGTTGCATGCATTCTGCCTCAGACATTCCTTCTCCCTCGATTATCTATAAAAGTTTTATTGACAGGCAAAAAAAAAACAAAACAAAACAAAAAAATTGAGAAAAAGGTTTAGGAGCCAAGTAGAAAGCCACAGAAAGACAGTGTAAGAGTCTTTTCCATCTTTTATTCCTACTCTCCCTCTTTTGATACCTCCCCCTTCTTCTCTTTGTCTCCCTGTTTCTGTTCTTTCCATCCTTCCTTCTCATCATTTTCTTTTCCTGCTTCCGAATCTTCAATTCATCTAACTATGCTCTTCTTTATAACCTAATATTTTTCTCCTGGGGAATTAGATTTCAAACTCAAAGACAAACTGTCTCTGTGCACTGGAGGAAATTGTCACTTGGTTTATATTTCTTTGTGGGTCTGTGACTGCAGGATTTTCAGAGGATTTTGGAGTACAGAGGCACTGACATCTCTTTAAAAAGGAGTGGGAACGCAGCCCCTAAGTCTCCCAGGACCCTGTCTGAAACCGTGGGATGGCAGGTGGTGTGAAAGGACCAGGGGGAACACAAACCAGTTCAGTTTGTCCTGCCAAATGGCCTGGCCCCAAGTCTTGCCTTTCTGCTTGGTGAGTACCAGCTGCTGGAAGGGCAGGTTGGGAGGAGGAAGGGGCAGTAATGGGAGCCGTGCCTTAGCCAGCTTGTAAACCATCTTTGTACGTGTATGAAAATTAAGATAATTATATCTCTTTTAATAAGAGGCCGTTCGTGTGCTTTTGGTGTTTACATGTATCAAGAAGGAAATCACAGGCAAGCGCCTGCCAAGTATATCCCTAGAAATATTTTTGAAGCTGTCATCTACAGGCATCGAATACCAGAGGCAGTTTAATTTCTCTCCCACTCTCTTTCTCTCTCCAAGCCCCCACCTCCCACACTCTGGCCTGGTTTTTGTAGGGAAAAGAGTTTGGCTTTTTATTGCTGTGTAAAGAATTAGTATATTACTATACTGGTCCCATTTGATGCCATCACTAGTCCAGCTAACCTTTAGATCTCCAGTACTGTGAGACAATGGATTTGTGGAAGGGATATGCTTATCCAAAAACCTTATTCATGATTTGCATTCAAGTGGCCCTTATGAGTGACTTGTGGAAATGAAATCCAGAAGGAAACTTGGAGAGGAATGCGTAAGGAAACTGAGTCAGGTTCATGGCACAAATTTACCTAAAAATCTGTTGAAACTGTCCAAACCAATCCCTGTGCATCCATGTCCTACAGCTTTTGGAGGAGGCTCTGTTCACTGTTGCCAAGAATAGAAAAATCACCCAGACCTCCTGAAGTTCACCACAGTGAAAACAACTGGAAACCACAATACTGAACTGTCTAACTATACTATGGGGAAAAGCAAAGGTGGCACCTTGGAAAGCAAATACAGCCCTCTCCAATAAGCACTGACCAGTCAGTTATATACCTTAAAAACACAACTTGGAACATATTGCTTATGTTTGAAGGTGGTGAAAACATGAAGAGCAATCCTAAACTGGAAGCAGGCATAGATCAACTCATTGCAAAGCTAGAATAGGGAAACACAATGTCTGGCTTGCAATGTTGATATTGTCGTACGCTACCAAGAAATCTTAATAGAGAAACAAATATTAGCAGGGGTAGAACATTTTCTGACATCATGATGTGCACAGTGATTTTGGGTTAAGAAAAAACCAAAAGGCAATTCTATGTGCACTCTTCCTTGCACATTCCCATCTCTTATTCAGGACAGACACTCCAAGATCTATTTAATTTTTTTCTACATGTTTTCTGTGATCCAGTGCTTGAATTGTTTCTTTTAGTAATTTGGATTCCTGAAGATAACAGGATCCCCAAACACAGAGCCAGAACTGCAGTGCTTTACACCATGTATGGAGTCTAAAGTGTGCAGTGTACAGTTAAAAGCACAATCCATCTACATGTCAGGGTCACGGGGATTTTTCCATGGAATAAAGTGGATATACCAAGTCAGACTGCATGGGGTGGAAACTAATTTAAAGAGGGATTGACTCAGACATCCCTACTTCTGTTATTGTGTTATTTTAAATACTTCAGCAAAGGATTGGATCATTTCTTACTCTGAATTAATTTGTCCATCTTTTGTTCTTTCTTTATTAAATTACAATTCACATATTGACAACTTCTGAGTTTCTAGGTGAATCTAATAGCTGTGAATCTTGGGTTACAATACACAGAGGCAAAAAGCTTCATGGTTTTCTGAGGAACTGACTAACATGCTGTCATAAGTGGATATATAAACATTAATTATGTTCTGAAGGGATTCAGCTATTAAAACCAAGTTAGAAGGAAAAACAGGACTGTCTGAATTATCAGTTCTGTTTTTAACAGAGAGGGCCAAAACCACTGGTGACCTCAGTGCTCCTCACTCTACACAGTGCCGTTTGGCACCAAGCTCACCTTGCATGAGGTTGACATTTAAAAAGTTGCCCACCATGTTCCTTAGAGAGCTCTGTCAGCGTGGGAGGCTGCAGAGAGAGACAGGGTCTGGAGAGCTGTTGCACTGGGTGTGCTTGCTGTGCCTGGGAAGCACCACCTTTCACGGGACTGAGGTGCTCCAAGTGGGATGAGACCCCACAGCTCCTACCAACAGCCAAGGGCAAAGACATTTCCCCAGAGCACAGATTTTTATGTCTTTGCACAAATCAAAGTTTGTAGTTACCAACCATAACAATTGTCTGTGCTTGTGTCTTCCTTGACAGCTGAGTGAAAATCAAACAAACAGAGTCACTGCTCCAACATATACGTTTTGAGTTAACTAAAAAGCTGCAGCTATTTAAAATTAAAAACTGCAGAGGAAGAAGGACTTGAGGGTGTTGGTGGATGAGAAGCTCAACATGAGCCAGCAATGTGCACTGGCAGCTCAGAAAGCCAACCGTATTCTGGGCTGCATCAAAAGAAGCGTGGCCAGCAGGTCGAGGGAGGTGATTCTGCCCCTTTAGTCCATCCCAACATAAGAAGGACATAGACCTGTTCAAGTGAGTCCAGCAGAGGGCCAAGAAGATGATCAGAGGACTGGAGCACCTCTCCTACGAGGACAGGCTGAGAGAGTTGGGGTTGTTGATCCTGGAGAAGAGAAGGCTCCAGGGAGACCTTATAGCGGCCTTCACCGTTAAACAGGGCCTACAGAAAAGGTGAGAGGGACTTTTTATCATTGAATGTAGCAATAGGATGAGGCATAACAGTTTTAAATTGAAAAAGGGTAGATAGATATTTGGAAGAAATTTTTCGCTCTGAGGGTGGTGAGGCACTGGAACAGGTTGCCCAGAGAAGCTGTGGCTGCCCCATCCCTGGAAGTGTTCAAAGCTAGGTTGGATGGGGCTTTGAGCCGCCTGGTCTAGTGGGAGGTGTCCCTTCCCTTTGAGGGGTGATTAGAACTAGATGATCTTTAAGATCCCTTCCAGCTCTAACCATTCTATGATTCTATTTCCTTTTGGGGTTAATGAGCTTTTTCATATGGGCAAGATGGTGCCTATCAGTAGGGTTATCAAATTGTATTTCCTCACCCAGCTGTCACACACTGATTGAGCCGAGTGCCATGGTTGCCTCTCAGCTGCTGCTGCTGCATTTCTTCAGGCTGTGGGGTCGATCTCTGCTTCGACTGAAGCTGTGTTAAGATGTTCATTTTTTAATCAGGTCATTTTATGGCATTCCTGGTTGCTTGCGTTTTTACTCTTGCTCTGTGTTTTAAAGTGCATCCTTGCACTTCAAGACGATGGAAATATATTCAAGACAAATGATGTCTGCAAGATAAGAACACAGCCATTTCTCAACCTTAGTTTACTATGACAACGTACTGTTGATACATCTCCTTCAGCAAGCAAAAAAGCAGTTTTAGTTTCTTTCAGCTCAAAGTTTTGCAAAATGTCAAAGCAGTGCTGAGTCTAGAGCAAGAAAGACTGATGGCAGGTTCCCAGCCTGTCTGCTGGAAGGGAGTACAGTGAGACAGCTTTTGCAAGCTCCTCTAAGAAGCCTGAACCTTGGGAAAAGGTCTTTTCCCTGTCTTTTAGGTCCTACTGCTCTCCCGTGTATTTTACGATATGTTGTCAAAGAGGGAGCAGAACAATAACACATGTGTGTTCTAGTTTTTAGGTTCTCTAGTAGAGTGATAAAAAAGATGCTCAGAGATGTAACCTCTAATACATGTTATGTCTAATTAATCTCCAAATAAACCCAAAGGAAAGATAACTGGGTCTTTCCTTAGAAGTAATACATCATGTTAGAAAATGGATCATTATTTCTGATGGGTTTATATTTACCTTTTTTGGAAACGACTGGGGGCCCTGAGAAGAAAAGAGGGGTAGAGTTTTCTTCTCCCCAGCTACTTGAAGTACTAAAGAAATATTCCCACCTGTTATGGAAGAAAACTGTGATATGTTCTTTTAAAAATGTGTTTCCCCACAAGTCTAGCACAGTATGGGAGGCTAAAATTTCTTCATAAGACGTATCTTTCTGTGACTTTACAAACGAGAATGTTTAGCTAATCATATCAAGAAAAGAAAACTTCTTTTCCTCTTGAGATATAAAGCAGGGAATTAGTCTCAGAAACTGTTGATTACAGTTTTTTGGGGAGTTTGGGAGTTGGGATGGCATTCCCCCATCCCCAAAATGGTTAATGGGGACACTGCCAGTGTATTTCTGCAATTAACAATCATTTAAAACCCTTCCTTTTAGACAGGAAGAGCCCCTTGCTGGTTTGCAGTATTTGGGCCGCAGAGATTTGGTTTCTGTGGTGGGCACAGGCTCGTATCACCAGCCACAAACATGCACATTGATTTTGGCAGGCAGAGCTGCTGATGTTCCCCATTAGGTCAGGAACTGTGTGGGGTTTGCCAGTCTCTGCAAGGTAAGTGCTGTTTTGGCCAATGTCCCAGGGCTGTGGCATCTCTGGAGGAGCTGCAGCAAAGTGAGGAGGTGATGTGGCACCGCTGCTCCTGGCTCTGAAGCCCCTTTTCCTTGTGGCCCTGTCTTAGCTGCACCTGGGCTTCTCCCCATACCTGATAGGGAAAACTCCCACTGGGGCTGGGAAGCCAGGAGTTGGGAACCAAAGAGAAAATCATGTTCTGAAAGAATTTTGGAATATGAACTAGCAGAAAATATACAGCCACTGCTCCTGGGAGAGCTAAGAATAGCAAATACATCTGCCTCTGGAAAAATACCTCCTCCCAGGATGCAGCCCTCAGTTCTGACTACCCATGAGAAAAATCCATGAAACATAGAACAGCCTCAAAGCAGGTAATAAAATAATTTGGAGAATGGCAAGATTTCCATCTGAGAACAGGTGGAGAAGGTGAAGCCTGCATATTTTAGTGAAAAGATGAGTTACAGCGTATATGGTTTGCACAATGCAATACAGAGAAAGTACATGCGGATCCTATGCAAGCTTCCTGAGTGCAGTAACAAGGGAATGCTGAAAGAAAAGGGAGAAAAACAAATGAAAAAAAAAAAAAGAGAGAAGGGGTTAGTTTTATCCATTTAAGAACTAACCTATGGAAATCCTTGACATGAAATGTTCTTTGGGAGTATTGTGGAATTCAAGACCAGCAGTCACTTACACAGTTTCAGTTGCTTTCCTTGAGGCAGTTAAGTAACTGCATGACCACAAATGATGCTGTGAAAAGCAAGGTTGTATCAGGATCCATCCTCCTTGAAAGCCTTGGAAAGTGTTATTAAACAGTGTGTTGGGTGATATGAAGACTGCTGAAAGATTTTCCCTTCTCTTATTATTCACAGGATGCCAAGAGTTTGGGAGGCTTCAGGTCCCAATTCCAACTTAGCTGTGACAACATATGGGAGGTTTGGGGTTTTTCTAATTATTGACTTTTTAATTTAGGGTGTGCTTCAGTGAGCAGCTCTCTACAGACACAGACAGGCGAGGAGGATCAGCTTGGCAGATGCTGCCTGTGGTTGTACTCACCTTTCCACAGAGGTTGAGAGGCTGCTGCTCTTCAGGACAGAATCTTCATCTCTAGCATTTTATCAACTTGAGATGTCCCAGTGACTGTCCCCTCGTGGGCCTCATAGCCCAGGCAGCATTCAAAAATCAGCACATCCCAGAAGTACTCTTTTGGTAACTGACGAGAGCTGAGGCTACATGCTGAGGTTTTCCATTCCTGCCAGAAAAGAGTTTTGGACAAGAAGCAGCTCTGAACTGAACCAAAACTGAATGCCCAAACTACAATTCTACAGGATTTCAGGTACTTTTTACTGACTTGTGCACTGTGCTGCAGAGCATAAAATTCACCGTGGTTCACAGAGAGCCCTCCTTCATGATGGGGTTTGGAGTCATTTCTCCATTCCCATTTCTGTACAGATAAAAGCACTTTTCCAGTAGTTGGGAAGGGAGAAAATGATAAAAGGGTTGTGTGAGAATTTTGCTACCCCTTCTTTTTCCGTTCTTATTACAGGAAAGTAGTCTTTGAGGTTTTCTTTGGCTGAATTCCCTTATAACCCTCATTTGTAACAACGTGTCATCTCAGATTACAATCCAGATATTTTTCTGTCAAAAGCAAGGGGAGAGGAAGGATTGGTGGTCGGAGAGGATATATTGACTTGCTTATATCCTGAAAGGGGATATACACTCCAAGGGTTTAGTTTATACTCTGGAGAGACAAGAGATTTAAATTTATCTCTGTGTGTGTTCTGGACATGCCCACATGGTACCGTTTGTAGCTGGGTAGCCAGACCTCCAAAGACTTTGGAGACTGAGTTACCACTTTTGTCCAAAGAGCTGTGTAAGGTCCATCTCCCCGGCTTGGGGCAGACAAGGCAGCTGAGCCGGGTGTGCTCGGGCTTGTGTGCCTGGGAGAGTGGGAGAGCCTGTCTTCAGACACAGGCTGTAAGCAAGGCAAAGTGAAAATTGTTTACCTCTGTTAAAAAATGCCTGTCATAACAGTCCCCAGTCCCAGTCAGTCTCTGTCTGATAATATAAATGTTTAATGAGAGCTTCTCACGCTCCATTTTTTTTCTCTCTTACGCATCCCAGTATTATTTTATGTTCCCTGAGTCCTGAGGAATTGATGGCACCGATGGAAGCAAGACTAACGAGGATTGTTCTGTACAGCTGAGCACTGCAGACAGAAGGTAGTAATTTGGTGGGGGCAATATGAGCTATGAATTCTGTGTTTATGAACTGTGTTTATGTACTCTGTATTTATGAGCCATAGTTCATCTATGAACTATGTATTCTGAATTCAGAATATGAATTCTGCAAAGTTAGACTCAAATCTGTGTTTAGGAACGCTGTTATAACTTCTGGACAGTAAAGAAAATTGAATGTGTAAGTGTTTCTGGTGCCAGACACACGCTGTTTTGATGCTGCGTCATCAGCAGAGTTAGCAGTTTTCCTGTAAACATGATGCAAGTCTCCCTTTTTCTTTTCAGAGAAATGCATAATTCCATGTTGACATTATGGAAGAAATAACTTATGGGATATGGGTGCCACAGATGTGGCAAGTATGAGAATAGGAGAGCTGGTTGAAAAACTGGGCACTGTATATAGACAGCAAAAAACAAAAGTGTTCAGGGACCCCCTTTTACATGAACTTTCCCACATTCATTATGGTCTGTGATGAACAGAAGTGAAGGGCCAAGCTGGGCTACCCTCCTGTGGTCTGTCTGAAGTCCTGACACACCATGTAGGCAAAGAGAAATGGGAGGACCCTCCATAGCTTCTGTACGGTATGGAGAACCAGAGCTGACCCAGGTGATGGGGAGTAGTGGAGGGGGGACGTGTGGACAGAGTAACATCTGAGGAGAGCAGACGTATCATGGCAGTAGAAAAGGAATGAATGGTGCCCTTCAGACTGAGCTTCAATTAAGAGAATTAATTAAGAACAGAACGCCATGATTTCCAAAAATAAAAGGTAGGAAAAAACTACTGAGAATAGCATTGCATTTGCTTCCCAAATAAAGGGAGAATGAGAAATAGGAATCCTGTTGGAACACAAAATTATTTCCAGAGACTGTTAACTGTAGTAAATAGGGACATGCAATGTCCCAGGTCTGTGAAAGCACAGGTTTAAACAGGGAAGTGTTAGAAGTAACAAAGGGAACGTGGCAATTTTCTTCTTAATAATGAGATTGGGCAAAATGCAAGGTGCTGATAGCCCACATATATGTATTCTCAGAATCTGCAGTACCTGTTAAAATTAAGGCAGAAGCACTGAAGGATGAAGAGAATGAGTAAAATCTGCGGATATGCTGGGGAATTTTTGTAAAAGGGTAGTATTTACATGTATGGTAAAAACCAGATGGCACAACACTTCTGAAAAGAGAATTTTACTCTCCATTCTTTTTCACTGGCTCTGGATATTTTTCAGCAGTTACTGTAGAAGTGTTCTCTGTGTAATTATAGTTGTGGGATAGAAAATGGGCAGCTTAGGACTACAGGACGTTCCCATGGCCTCTATATCCCCCCATGGTATTTTTCCCTGCCTAAGGCTGCTTAGAAACTTAATCTGGCTTGGGCCAAAAATGCTTCCAATGTGGAGATAGATCTAGCTGATATATGAAAACCAGATAATCTCCAGCTATTTGAAACTCCCTGTTAAGGCAATCTTTTAAAATTTTGCTCAAGTTTTCTTCTTAAACTAAAACAGCTAAAGCTTGAATACCTGCATAGGAAGCTTTTTTAAAATGCTGGTGTATACCCAGGAATGTATCACTTCAGTGGGGAAAAAAAACAGCTTTAAGACAATCAGGTGAAAACTAGGAAGATACCTCCCTACAGTGGATTATATCATGACCATGATACGATGGCCAAGGCAGCAAGTGAAGGGGTCAGGAAGATAAAAACTGAGGTTTTGATTAGTCTCTCTCACTTCTTTCTTCATCTCTCATGTTTTCTTTGTGGCTATCAGTTTCCTTCTCAGGAGTTTTTCCTGACAGTCCTGCGGTTGTAGATAGCAATGCAGTGTACAGGCACGGAAAATTTTCATTTGCAGGGTCAGTCAGAGAAAAATTTTTGATATTACTGACAGACAAAGCCTGTTGTCCCTGCAGGCAATGCTGTATGCAAAAAGTGTCTTTGAAGCCAGTTCTGTTTTTTCCTAGTGTAGTAGTTTGTGTTGCTGTGCATGAAAGCTGTTATGCATTGAACTGCTGGTCTCATGATCTCATTTTAATAGTGGCTGCAAAGCTAGAAACTTTGGATTTCTTGAGATCTCCTACTTGACATCTATAAGGCTGATGCAATATTAGGATATTTTTGCATTTTCCTTTGTAATTTTTACCTTTTTTCCTTTAAAAATATGTAACAGGAGAGGTCATTAATTATCAAAGAAGAAGCATTAAGCCCCTAAGGATTAAGTGAGCCATAGTTCAATCCACTTTTTTTAATGGTCCATTTCTCCTCAGATTTAGAAAACAATCCTGAAAGCTAGTGGTTTGTCCAACACTTCCATGAGAGCTCAGAGTGCTTTGCAGAAACAGGTCCCTTCTAAATAAAATCCATTATCTGAGTTTCTTCTCCCCCAGCTCCCATGCTTTAACAGCTGGTCTGAGCTGGTTGTCCAGGCCCTCCCCAAAGAAAGAAGAGCTGGTGCCAGCTCCAGAGGGCAACACATCCCACCGTCATATCTGTATCTAAAACAGGTGAATTACTTGCCCCCCCCAGTGACTACAGAGGAAGTCTGGGACATTGTCTTAGAGGAGGACCTACATTTTTGCCTAGCAGAGGTCATAAGGTGAACCAGCCACTTCGTGTAGGAGAGCAGTCCTACTACCTGGGTCTGTGCATCATCCCCATCAGATAGAACAGTCCTTCAAGGCTGAGCTGGAGAATGAGCAGAGTATTTTTAGCTTTGTTCGGAATGAATTTCTGATAATCTAAATTACTGTGAAATTGACTGGAAGATTAATGTACACACTGGCAAAGACCAAACAAGTGCGTCTGTTTTTAAAAAGATGCACCGCCAGGGAAGCTTGGGAAGAAGAGCTGGGTTTTGTCAGGGAGCATAGGATTTCAAACTGTAGATTAAAAATGAAAACTGCTGAAAATAATTAAGAACAGACAACTTAAAACCTGTAGGCAGGGGCTCATGTGTGGAGGCTGGAGGGTCAGAAGGAGATAAATATGCAGAGAGAAGGCAGAGGTAACAGTTTGTGCCGCATCTAAAATGAGCTAAAAACTAGTAGCCATTTTCAAAGGCAGTCTTGCCTTTGATGGATTTCCAGCTCCATCTTCATTTGTTGTCTTTGTTTTCCATCCAAATTGACCTGTCCTGTAGCCACTTGGCCACTAGGTTGATCTGGAATGTGTGGCTAGGACCTTGGGTGAGAAGAGAGCATTCTGGTAGCAGGTACCTGTTTTAGATCAGTTGTATATCAAACTTGCGCTCCTCATCCCGGTGGACGGGTGAGCAGGACTGGTTGTTGGAGGCTACATCCCCAGGGGTTGCACTGGGTGAACATGCAGCTCCATGCAGATGTGGACAGGATGGTCAAAATTTCACCTTCACTGAGAGCTTTCAGAGCTACAAAGCAAAACAGAAGCATGAGATCTAATAAAGAACAGATGCTTGGCTGTCATTTCAAGGTGACATCTGAGTCCCAGCTAGGCTAGATCTCCAAAGGTGGTTGCTACACTTTTGATTCTTGATATTTTACTTAGAACTATTCAATTTGGGAAGTCCACCTATCAGACATGCAGAAGCAAGGAATACACAGCGTGCTGGAGAGCTAGAGAAACTGGAAATACTTTTCCTGATGTGTTTTCCTGAACGCTCCAAAAACTGAATAGTTGAGCATCTAGGAAGAGAGATTTTACTTTGTGTTCTGAAAGGATGAGGACGACCAGCTGATTATAACAGAGTGAGAAGAGTTCTGTCTTTTTTAGCATGTGTGGGTAGACTATAGCTCACAACCACATGAGCTGATCTGTGGGCCTTGTCTAAATATGTTCTAACTGTCATGGAGGGTATTACTCTTTTGCAGAATATGGGGTTCAAAGGAGGAAAACTGTAGCATAAGGTCTCTAAGTCACTACAAACACAAAGTTTTTACTCAAAGCGAAGTGGTCCAATGGAGTATTAAGGACTTCCTTTCTCCATGTTCCAATATTTATGCTTTCTTGTGTGTTATTGCCATCAGCTGCTGAGCTAAAATCTGAGAAAACTTTTTGGAAGGGAGGAAATGAGAGCCAGGCAATACCTAAAGACTACCTTTTCTAAATGCAAATAAAAGTGCACCTCAAGATATTGCCTACAATTAAGTATTTGAATGAAACGTGAAATTTGCTTCATCTCTGCTCAATCTCCTTTGAAGTCTGAGTTCCATTAATATTTAATAAAAGAATTTCCTGGCAAAAAGGAAAAAAAAAAAGAGTTTTAAACAACTGTTTTGCAGAAGGTAAATTTTGAACTTGTAATTATTTGTACCGAAAATGTGATGCTGAGTTGCATTAGGAGACCATGCTCAAACAGCAGTTATAGATATTTCATCCTCAAAATGTAAGGAGGAGTTGCATGAAGTTCCACAGAGGATTGCTCTAGGTCTGGTAGTATTCATTAAATTCATTAATGAGCCAGATGATGACACAAAGAGAATCATTATTAAATTTACAGATAATTTCAAGCAGCAAGAGACTGCAAGTAGGTTGGAAGCCAGGATTAAAATTCAGAGATCTTGATATATTGCAGATACGATCTGAAAAATGTGGGTAGCATTCAATATGAATAACAGCTACATTTAGACAGGAGCAAGGAGCTGCAGAAACACAGGACAGCAAAGAACTGTTGTCACAGCAAATCTGTGGGAAAATGTTTAGCAGGAATATATTCCTAGACCATAAATTGAACAGGAGGCAATAATAACGCTGGGCTGGTGCAAAAAAGAGGAAGGCCACCCTGGGCTGTCTGTGGAGGCACAGGGTGCTCTGTTCAGCACTGGTGAGGTGTCAGTGAGAGAGGTGTGTGCACTTGTGGACACAAGAAAAATGTGGAGCAGCTGGAGATGGTCCAGAGGAAGGCAATCAGCATGGTGAGGCATTGAAAAAACAAGCTGTACGGAAAGAAAATTGATGCTGTCTAATCTGATACAGAAAAACGGGTGAAAGTC